TTACCTATCCTGTGAGAAGCAAAGATCTTTCTCTACAATCAGTCTTCTGGCAACTGAAGAGGCTGTAGAAAATTTTAATGGTGGATGCCATTCTTTTCTATCCTCTCATCTTCTCTAAATGTGTTTTTGAATATTCAAAATTATTTTAAGCTAGTGTTTTTTGGAACAGCACAAAAATTTAAACTGCATTTTAACATTCTAACTTATTGATCGAAACACTCTTTGCCTTGTGGTTCTTTTCTCCTGATATTTACACAAGAGGTTTTCACTAATCCTTCATGCACGCAGAAGCCCTATTGGCAGAGATCTGGGTGATGTTTTCAGCTGGCTTATTTTTCCTACCATTATCTAACTAACTTCCTGTCCTTGCACTGGGAGAAAGGCAGTATATAAATGAAATAAATGAGTCTTGGCTAGGAAAAAAAAATCATCCCTGATAGTACGACCCCATAGTTCAAAATAGGCCAATTAGGCAGAAACACAGGAGCTGTCTCAACAGACTTTTCTGTCTTTTCTGGCAGCTGTCAAAGGCCTCATGCAGACATCCTTCCCATTATCCGTGGCCTGAACCTGTTAAGTAGAAATGCAGAGACTGAAACAGTCTTCTATATACAAAGCCCAAACAATTTCACTGAGCAATAGCCATGCCTCCATTGGAATTATTCTAGTCAAGCCCCTTATACAAATATATAACAGGCTCGCCCTGTAGTTATTTAAGGCTACTGGCTCAAATGTAAAAAGTTTTGGAGAGTCTGTTTTTACAACAGTTACACTATAAAATCTCAACAAATTTGAGCTGGCAAAAGAAAACCTAGCTCTGTCTCCTTCTTATGTAAGCAGAGCACTCACTGGGTTTTCTTTCCTAAAATTTATAGAGTGACTTGATCAATTTGACCAGGGAAATTATTTTCATTGGAGCGCAGACAGATGGGAGTCATGGATGACTGTTTGCAGAATGAGCAAATTCTATTCATACGGAAAGAAAAGGCCTTTGCTTGTTTTAAAGCCAGCCTTTCTGATTGTGCGACCTGGGTCTCTGTTTTCTTATTAATTTAAGAGGGACCCATTCGCTGAGGAAAAGTTGTACTTTTTGTTATAAAATCTAATGCAGAAGATAATGGGTCCTGGTTGCTAAGAGTGCACGAAACAAATAGAAAGGGACAAGTAGGGGTGGCCACTACTGTCCCCTATTATAGAAGCTGTTTCCTGAAGCAACTGTCTCACTCTTGCCAATGGAGGAGAAGGGTGTTTCTCAGCCCAGCCCAGACCAGCCGAAAGATTATTGTGATTTACATTTCTAAATCTGCATTTTCAGCATATACAGTGGTGGCTCGCATAACGAGTGCACCGTTAAACGACTAATTCACATAGCAATCTAATTTTTTAGATCGCTAATGCGATCGCATTGCAATGTTCTGTATAGGCAAAACATCGCATTGCAATGAGCGGTAAGCGTTTCGCTTACCGATCTTCGCATTGACCCTCCTTATCACTACTTTACTTTCACAAAAGGTTAGGCTGAATGTGTGACTAGCCCAAGTTCAATGACCGAGCTTCCTCTGGAGTTGAACCTGGAACTTCCTGAATACAAGGCATATGTGCTACCACTAAGCTATGCCACTGTCTCATTTACTCTGAGAGACAGTTGAGTGGCCACTCGGTAAGCAAGGAGAATATTAATCTCTGGCCATCTTCTCTTCCTCAGTTGACTTGGAATTCAAAACAAGGAAAAGTTAATACCGGTATTTAAGGCAGGCCAGGTAAGGGACTACTCTAGGTTTTAAATATTAGCCAGGCCATTCACCCATTGACAATGTAATTCTCAAGCACAATTCTGAGAGACAGTTGAGTGGCCACTCGGTAAGCAAGGAGAATATTAATCTCTGGCCATCTTCTCTTCCTCAGTTGACTTGGAATTCAAAACAAGGAAAAGTTAATACCGGTATTTAAGGCAGGCCAGGTAAGGGACTACTCTAGGTTTTAAATATTAGCCAGGCCATTCACCCATTGACAATGTAATTCTCAAGCACAATGCCAAAGTTATTTAAGCCAGGCCAGGTGAGGAGCTACTCTAGGTTTTAAATACTGTACTGTATTAGCCAGGGCATTCAACCATTGACAATGTAATTCTCAAGCACAATGCCAAAGTTCAGCTCTTAACTGCCAAAAAGAATACTGTTTGTTCTTTTACAGAAATTCTACCAGCTGCATGACCTTGGCCCGACATAGATCATATTGGAGGAGTTTTTGAGGAGGTTCCTCTAGCTTGTTCCTCAGAGGTTGGCAAGGTACAGCAGTGAAGTGTGCTAAACTATCGCTTTCCATTTTCTTCTCCAACATTAGAGGTTCTTCAGAGATGACAAGTGGTCCATGGCTGCAGTCCTCCTCTGAATGCTAATTCGGGAAAGTAGCCAGAATCCCTCTGCAAGTGAGAGTGCTCCAGTACTGGGGCCATTCAAGAGAATCTTAGACAACTACCTGGCATATATCCTTTGATTTGTATTCCTGCATTGAGCAGGGGGTTGGACCCAATGGCCTTATAGACCCCTTTCAGCTTCATTATTCTCTGACTCTGTTCGCCAAAGTTAAACTCTTAACTGCCAAAAAGAATACTCCTTGTTCTTTTACAGAAATTCTACCAGCTGCATGACCTTGGCCCGACATAGATCATATTGGAGGAGTTTTTGAGGAGGTTCCTCTAGCTTGTTCCTCAGAGGTTGGCAAGGTACAGCAGTGAAGTGTGCTAAACTATCGCTTTCCATTTTCTTCTCCAACATTAGAGGTTCTTCAGAGATGACAAGTGGTCCATGGCTGCAGTCCTCCTCTGAATGCTAATTCGGGAAAGTAGCCAGAATCCCTCTGCAAGTGAGAATGCTCCAGTACTGGGGCCATTCAAGAGAATCTTAGACAACTACCTGGCATATATCCTTTGATTTGTATTCCTGCATTGAGCAGGGGGTTGGACCCAATGGCCTTATAAACCCCTTTCAGCTGCATTATTCTCTGACTCTATGAAATGTAACTCTGCTATTCATGATCAGGATTTTTATGTAAGGGCAATACACCAGTGGGAGATCCCACTTTATTTCACCTGGTGGTCTGACTCTGTTCATGATCAGGATTTTTATGTAAGGGAGATCCCACTTTATTTCACCTGGTGGTGCTAAATAGGATGCTGGTCAGAATCTCAGTTAAGAAACCCTGCATTCAATTGCTTTGTATGTCATTAAATCAGAAGGCTGGGCTCATTGTTTGCCATTCTTCCTAGAACTAATGGCAATTTCATTGTATCTAAGGTGGAATTATCATCATGTGCATGTGATAAAAGTCATCCCAAAGTCATTTTACTGTTACTTTTATGTTTGTTTGAACCCATTTTCTCTGACTTAGCCACAATGTCCCTCTAGACCAGTGCTTCCCAACCTTGGGTCTTTATGTTTATTTGAACCCATTTTCTCTGACTTACTCAGCCACAATGTCCCTCTAGACCTTCCCAACCTTGGGTCCCCAGAAGTTCTTGGACTACAGCTCCCAGAAATTCTGGCCAGCACAGCTAGTGGTGAAGACTTCTGCGACTATTAGTCCAAGAACATCTGGAGGGCCAAGGTTGGAAACCATGCTCTAGACTAAAGGTCTCTTGATTTGAACCCATTTTCTCTGACTTACTCAGCCACAATGTCCCTCTAGACCTTCCCAACCTTGGGTCCCCAGAAGTTCTTGGACTACAGCTCCCAGAAATTCTGGCCAGCACAGCTAGTGGTGAAGACTTCTGCGACTATTAGTCCAAGAACATCTGGAGGGCCAAGGTTGGAAACCATGCTCTAGACTAAAGGTCTCTTGAGTCCAGCATTCTGTGCCCATGGTGGCCAGACAGACACATAAGAGAAGCCTGCAAGCAAGACAGAAGTCCAATAGCCACTGATAACGTTACCCTCTAAGAATTTATCACCTGAGTCCACAAATACCACTTCAATCCGAACACCTGCCATGGATAATCAAATGTGGTAAAACGCCCACTACAGTCCCAACTACATCAGAAATTTTACAAAGAATAAAACAAAAGTATCAAAAGAAGAGGCACAGGGAAACTGGTCTAGGTCAGGTGATTTTAATTAAGAATTGCATATAAAATGTGACCAAGTACAATTACAAACAAGAACTGCAGTAAAAACATAGGTAGGAAAGAGAAGCTTTATGGTTTCAGCTATCAAAACACAGTAAGAGAAGTGGCGCCTACAGGTTCTGCAGTATACATAGCTGGCTTGTGCCAATGGCTAATATCCACCAAGACAATCTCCTGTACCAGCCTCATAATGCACATCTATATACAGGCACATTAACAACAGGATAACATCTGAATTGTTTCAGATGAAACAAAGAGAAAACAAATACAGATCCTATCCATCCATCAATTATCCACACACAAAGCAAAGATCTTTAAAAGACCCTCCTCCTGGATTTCAGGCAAAAACAAAAATTTAAGAATAAAGAGAAAAAATGTTGTGGTATATTAAAAACTACTCACTGGGTCATGGATGTGGAACTTTTATGTCTGAGGAAGTGGTCTTGCGCATGAAAGTTCACATTACAATATAGCAATTAGTCTTTAAGATGCCACAATGCTTCTGTTTTTGTCATTTTCTTCTTTTTCTTTTGTTTCTGCCTGATACGCTAGCAGAGACTAACATGGCTAGCTCTTCTAAAGTTCCTCTTGGACTTAACGATAGTTACTCCCATGAACCAACAAATAAAAAAAGTTTATTACAGCGCTTACCTTTTATACTGAAAAAGAACTGATTTTGGAATTTGCCTATAGAGAGGAGAAGACCTGAGCAGGAGGAGTCACACTTTTTAAATATTGTTCAGTTTTGTTAAGATTATCAGAAATCTTTCTTCCAAACTCCAGGAATGCTTTGCGTGAGGAGGGGTTGTGCTCATCATTAGCCTTTCTTCTTCCCTGCCCCAAAGAGATTTGCTGCTTTTCAATTAGCATTTTTTTTAAAAAGCTGAGCATCTTTCACAATATTAAAAGGACTGGGGGCAAACTGTAAACAACAAACAGGACAGTCAGAAAGTTATAGAGATCTTCTTGTGTTAAAATGTTTTCAGTCTCTTGCTGTTTGGAAGTGATGGTAATACAAGTCAAACTATGCCAGGAGTGTCAATTTATCATCAGCACTTACAAACAAGAGTCAATTCATATGAACATTTGGGGTAGCTTATGGACCAAAATCTAGATGAGAATATGCCCACTGCTTCCCTCACAAGCCAATGATGGTGCCTACACAGCACCAGTTGTGTGGCACTAAAGATGTTAAGACAGCTAGACCTAGACTTAGTCATACTCTGTGGGGACCTACTGAAACCAACAGAGACGAACTTAAATTCCACTAATTTCAAGATATTTATGTTAAGTATGGCTATGCCCAGATCCAATCCATTGTGAAGAGGAGATGTATCTCTAAACGTTCAAACAAAGAGCAACAAATGAACGCATGTTCCCCAGAAAGTGTCCAGCACATACCTAAGTGTTTAAAGATATACAAAATTCCCCTTCCATTCAATTTTTTAATCACAGACACCAGTATCTATTACACCTGCAAAAGTGAGGATTTAAACAAGAGACTACATAGTTTCAGCTATTAAAACCAACATTTTCCTCAGAGGTCACTTTGCTGCTGCTCTCCCCTCCATTTTATTATTTCCCATTAAAACAAATGAGCACATCTTTGGAATAAAGAGTTAATTGGTGCAATTTTAGCAAAATACATTGGCTGCAGAGTGCAAGTAAGACAGCAGTATACGAATACAGCAAGTAGACTAAAAATGAAAAGAGTGAAACAGAATTCATGTAGCTATAACCTGAATCTTTAGGTTTTAATTTATACTACTCAAAGGTGCAAATAATGGAAATCTTTAATGTTGTTATGATCTTATGGTTGTTATGGAGGAGGCTACTGGTAACTGACCTTAAAAAAGCAGTGGTGTGCTTTGCTTTTTGTCCTACAGCAGCCTTCTCCAACCTGGTACTCTAAAGATGTGGATCACATCTCCCATCATCCACATCCAATACAGCCTTTTGGACTCTGCATGGTTTTGGATGACACTGCACACAATAATCCACTAGACTGAGCCAATGCACTGGGAATCCAAGTCCTCAGGATTAGAAAGCAGAAGGGTCACTGTTTGTGCGTTAAAGGGAATTAAGGCTTGAAGGTGGTGGGGACAACTGAATGAAGATAGAAAACTATGATCCAATTTCCAGATGCACTTTCAAGTTACACAACATTACTATTCATGTGTGAAACATGAATGAAACATGGTTGACATATATAGTAAAGAGAAGGCGGCAGAAACCTGAGGTGGTAGGTTGGACTATACCATTTTCAAGCTACAGGTGGGGAATACCATATTTGAACATCCCCCTATATAAAGAACTCCCTGTAAGTAAAATCAGCAACAAAAATAGCACATCTAACTGTATGACATCCTGGATTTCTGTTTCCACATATAGCACCAGAAATTTTCATGTCTTGAAAAGATGCCATTATTATTAACACAGAACAGCTTACTACGCTCTGCGTTAAACAGTATATTTGTGGGAAAGGACAGAGAAGAATTTTGGGGATAAGGGGAGACAATGTGGGACACCAATTCAATTCCATTATCACATCATTTGATGCCATGAGAAAGATAAACCTTCTGGCATTATATTATCTACACCAAGTTCTTTGTACCTAGCGTTTTTTAATTTATTAAGAATAAAAAAAAACCCCAGCATTGTCCTATATATCGCCAACATTTTTATGTGCTTCTCACACCACCTTTTTAATTTGCTTCACTTATGGACAATTGTTATTCCACATACTGTATGCCTATGCTTTTGCTTTGAACACCTCTTTCAGACAAAGCTGTTCCCATTCTAAGAATCTTTCATGCCACAGTATCACAGGAGTGACGCTCACACTTTTGCACACTGGGAAGCAGCAACAGAAATAAGTTGGATTATACAAACCTATTACAAAAACTGAAGGATGTAAAAGATGCTCTTGCATTTTTTGTATGATTTATTTAACATAAGATGTATTTTCGTATTTAATCTTTGTTTTCGTAAGCCTAAACCTTTCCTCTATACAAATGGTTCTTTTCTTCATAATAATTCATGTTAGAGCCCATTAGCTGTTTTAATTAGTCTACAATAGGAAAATGGATGCCTCTACTAGGTATTTTTAACTCCTGTAGTCAGTTTCCCCCACCTTGTCTTTAATATACATACATTTGTAAGAAAACATATTCGCACCCATCTCCAGCATGACAATTCACTATAATCATTATCATCATCATCATCACACTTCTAGCAGGTGACCATTTCAAAATACAAATACAATCTGGTTTTACAAAAAGTTAGTATAATGGCAACATTTTAAAAGAGCTCAAAAAATTACTTTTCAAAAAGAACACATAGAAGCCCGTATGGAAACAAAATAATGACGACCCCTCCCCTGCAAAAAAAGTTGAAAGAGAGAGATGTTCCTTTTTTGACTCCAAAACTGTGCTGCAGCGATTGTAGGTTTCTAGTTTACCAGTTGTCTAGAAAATCAAATCCTGTCTTCAAGATGACATTACTTGTATTGCTCTGCAGAGAGAAAGAAAATTTTGACAAGATAAATATCTGAAAGTTAGGAAGGACTATGGATATTTTAATCAAAAACTGTTGATTAAATCCTATCAGAAACTAACTAGTACATAGGAGCAGAGAGAATGGCCATGTTGATGGTGGATTCCAGAATCTGTGTGGAGTCTTAAGAATTAACTTCACCAAGATCTGGAGAAAGTAAATAAAGAGCTAGGAAGAACAGAATTATTCCCTCTGGCTGGAAGGCCAAAATTTATTCCAACAAAATGTAGTGAATTTGTTTATAGTAGTCAAAGGAAAGCGGGAAAAGAATTTGGGATAGTGACACGTAAGAAACAATGAATGTTCAAAAGCTAAATCTAACTAGTTTGAGCTACAGTAGATCCACTAAATCAAAGGGAGTCCTATAAGTATTTGACTTAAGTCCTCACTCATTCAATGGGTGTACACAAGCTGAAATTAACAATTGGATTTAGCCCAATATGCACCCGATCAAAAAAAGAGTTAATTAAATACCAGGAAATGCTAACGCTGTTATCTGCGTATCTCTACACAGATATACAGTTACCATATATTTTGGCAAATGACAATTCATTAATGATAATGTATGGGCTAGATTTAGTTCTACAATTCACAGTAAGGGGAGGAAACAAATTTAATTCATACTACAAACTCACTAATTTTGAAAACATCTGGGGAAGTATACATTTATTTTAGTTATTTAGCCTATTGTCCTTTCCTCCCCCAAAGCCCTCTATTAGATAATGTATCAGCCTTTACCTGACTAAGTGTCTGCAGGTCAGAAAGGAAACCAGTATCCGTGTCTTCAGTTTTGGTATCAGTAGATGACAATTTTTCCACAGGGTCAGGTTGAGCGTCAAGGGCACTAACTGAAGGTGGGCTGGGTTGAAGTTTCTCCCATTCTATCGATGTCACGGCCAGGCCTGGGGTAGCCACGTTTTCCGATTTAGCAGCGCCAGGCTTCTCTGCTTTTGTCACTTCTTTGGGACCAGACTCTTGCCTATAATAAGGCTGGAGGGTCTTCTCGCCTTTCTCCATGGATTTGATCTGGCTTGGAGTGAGTGAATAGAACTGGGTTTGCTCTCCTTCACACTTGGAGCGCTCAGCATTGATCTTCCAGAAAGAGGATTCCTCTTCTTTCCTGGCTTGTACCAGCCCATCTGAGCCAGGTGTTTTGACACCTTGGGAGGGTTTGGAGGCCGGAGGGGCTGGAGCAGTTTTTGGTGGTTGTTTCTGTTCATTCTGTGATGTCACACCACTTGGCTCTTGTACTGACAAAGAAGCAATGCTGAACTCCATCTGACTCTGTTTGGAATTAAACAAAGAAACAATGCATTCCACAACTCATTGCCCAGGTCTTCAGATCAGAAAAGCAGGAAAAGGCAAAAATGTCTTCAATTTTTGTACAAATCTGCCATACAGTTTCTTACAGATTATGTTAATCCACTAGTTTTATCTCACTGGGAGGGGAAGGAGGAGAAGTGCCTGAGGAATCACAAATAACAGGTATAACATCCTACAGATTTCTCCCACTGTTAAAAAGGACCCAATTGTTTTTTTTACACGCACAAAGCGTAGTTTTACTAAGAACATTTGTAAGGCAACATGATATGAGCATCCACTGCAGAAACACATAATGGATTTATTTATTTATTTGTTTGTTTGTTTGTTTATTTATTTATTTATTTATTTATTTATTTGATTTATATGCCGCCCACACTACCCAGAGGTCTAGGCATCTTTGACTCCCAAACTTCGTTACTCATATGAACATCTTGGAAAAGTTAGTTTCAGTTTCACAAGTTGGCTAGGAGATTCTGGGAACAGTATCTAAAACTGCATTTACTTCAAGCTCTAGTTATGCATCTGTTGTGTCATCCAGGCCTCTAACTAATCTACACATCAGAACTTTCACTATTTTCTCTACAATTACAACTCTTCTCTATGAAAACTTTCCCATGGGATTCCATCTTGTGTATTCATGAGTGAATCAAGGGATTAGGAGCACTGATATCATCAAAATGCTTACAACACCCACCTAGTTCTTTTTTTCCCCTAACTTTCTTTTACTTTCTGGCACTCTTCATGCCCATGCTGTATTCTGGTCCTTCCAGGGTAGATAAAAATCAATGATTTAAAAAAACAGATTTAAATCAGAATTTGAATCATGATTTAAGTTAAAAATTATTTTTTAATTTAAATTATCAAAAAACCCCATTTTTTCTTTAAATCATGATTAAAATCAATTTGATCTAAATTAAATCCACCTTGGTTGCTTCATCTCATTTTATGTAGCAGAATCAAAATGTGCAGATCCCAAGTTTTTCAGCATCACATCCCTTTTTTGATTAATAAAGTAACATTACAAGTGAGAACAAACATTTAGTCTGGGATTTTTTTCATCCCCTCAGTCCTGGGGCGAGCTCTCCAGTTGGGGAATATTACTGCCTCACACCTCAGGTTAAGGCATGCCTGCACATTTTGTTGCTGCTCCATGACAAAGTTTTGAGCTAGGGTGGAGAACACATGTTGGAGAAAGGACGCCTTTCAGCCCAGATCCTGTCCTGTTGAAGGATGGAATAATGAGACATATTCAAGAGTGTGGATTTGATTTTTAAAAATGATTTTTAAAAATGAATTAAATTTGAAAAATCATTTTTTAAATTTAAGTCATGATTTAGATCCATTTAAAAAGGGACGTGGTGGCGCTGTGGGCTAAACCGCAGAAGCCTGTGCTGCAGGGTCAGAAGACCAAGCAGTCGTAAGATTGAATCCACGTGACGGAGTGAGCGCCCGTTGCTTGTCCCAGCTCCCGCCAACCTAGCGGTTCGAAAGCATGCAAATGCGAGTAGATAAATAGGGACCACCTCGGTGGGAAGGTAACAGCGTTCCGTGTCTAAGTCGCACTGGCCATGTGACCACGGAAGATTGTCTTCGGACAAACACTGGCTCTATGGCTTAAAGAGCGAGATGAGCGCCGCCCCCCCAGAGTCGGACACGACTGGACAAAAATTGTCAAGGGGAACCTTTACCTTTACCTTTTAGATCCATTTGGTTTTTTAAAAAACATTGATTTTAATCCACCCACTCACATATTTTAATGTTATACACAAAACAAACTGAACAACTTTACTTGGATTTTTTTTTCTTCTTCTAGAACACTTAGAGAATATTTGAAGACACCTGAACTCAGGCTTTTGTTTTGTTTTTTAGTGTGCAGCTGGACAAAAAAAGGTGCAGTTGGGTAAAAAAACTGTGCAGTTGGAAACTGATAGACAACACTGATGCCTACTTTGAGAGCCATCCTATTTCCTGAGTTGATCTAAATTTCCAGCTGCAGTTTTTTCCAGGTGTGCAGCTTGTGTCTCATGGCACGCAAAACAAAACAAAACTCTACAGCAAATACTTTCCTTATGTCAAGGGTTGGGTCACATAGCCCTCCACATATGTTTGACTCAAAATCCCATAATCCCCTAACACTGAAAGTGCTAACTAGGGCTGATGTAAGCTGATATCCAAGAACATATGAAGATCACCGTTATCCATCTCTCCCTTCCATGGTTTAAGACAACAAAATAAAATGAAGACAAATTCATTTTAGATACAGTTTTGGAGGCATGCGAAAATACATCTGAAAGGTTAAATCTTTATTTCAAAAGCACTCACTTTGACTTAACATTTTAGGTACTCATAATATTATTCATGAGTTTGGCATACATACTAGTGGAAATTTTTCCATGCCATGTCAATGAGCATAGCCCAGGCACAGCTGGACTGCTACAAATTAAACCAGGCCTGTTTTATTAGAAAGGGAGAGAATAACTGGCTTAGACCGAAGGATAAAAGGCTGCTGGGGACTTTTGGATGGAGCCAGTCATTCAGATATTATGCATGGCTTTGGAGAAAGAAAACACACAAAACCGTCTGGAGGCAAGGTAAAAAGGACAATGAAACCCTCCCTCTACTCTGTCAGGCTACAATGTCCTGACACAAATGCGTGGAGAGATTTTTCTCCTGTGGTTAGAATGACCTCAATCTTGGTTATATCTAGAAGTTGATTATGTTTTATACAAACTGCATATCCTGTTTCTCTTGTGTACATTCAGCGAGCAGGAGGTAATATGAAGCTTAATGTATGGCTTCTTAGTAAAAGATAAACGGGAGCACTACCCCACAGTGATAATCTTGAGCTTCTGCTACGACTAGAGAATGGTGCAGTGCTGACAGACCAAAGACAAAACCCACTGCTTAAACTGGAATTACAGGATAGTATCCTGTTGCCTAGCTGGTTGAGTTACGCATCTGGCTGCGGAGCCAGAAGCCGGGAATTCAATCTCCACTGGGCCTCCTGAGAAGGGTTGGCCTGTGTGGCCCTGGGAAAGCTCCACAGCCCGAAAAGTGCACCCAGAAGAAGGGAATGGGAAACCACTTCTGAGGACTCGCTACCTGGAATCACCAGAAGTCGGAACTGACTTGACAGCACATGATCATTATTCTTATTATCCTGTTACCGAAACACAGAACAGAAAGAACTGCCACTAAGTGCCCATTGCCCCAATCTAGCAGGCTCTCTGCTGCCTGAACAACTGTTGTGACCAACCCTGCAAACAGAGCAAGAATGGGGCAGAGGATGGAGAGGAGCCTACCAGAGGAAGGCAGATGCTTACCTCCCTTCTGCTCTGTGTTGGGGAAACAGGATACAATCCACAGAATCTAGGTTCACTGTGTGGAAAGAACTTTAATTAAGCCTCCTGTCTTGTGGGAGGGGCCAGTCAGTTCCCTCCACTAGCCATTTCAGCTTCCGACAAGAGAGCATAAAAGACAGACAAGTCCTTCTTTCCTCCCGCACTTTGCTTACCCCCCTCAGAAATGACACCAAAGGGGACCCAAGGGATGTGAGAGAATGCAGAAAGGGGAAGAAAATCTTCTTTCAACAGGAGACTTCAGCTTGCTGAAAACAGGACATCATGCACTGGTCTGTTCTTAGAGCATTACATTTGTTAACAATGTTAACAATCCCTTGCATATTTTGGGAGAGGACTTTTTAAACATAAGCAGAGTCAATCTTGTCAAAACCCATCTTTTGAAGGTTGTACAGGCATCCCCACTCCAAACAACAGGAACAGAGTTAGAACAGAATATGCCTTCCACGGTATTTTTGGAACTGTATTTTTGTATGCCCTACAACAGCCAGAGGACATCCCAATGATTTTGTGCTGGCAACTATAGTTTTACTTGTCCATATTAATTCCATGACATTAAGATAATTGGTATATTCTGATATCAGCTACGTACAGCAACATGCATATATGTATTATTCTCCTCCACTGGCTAATAGACCAAGGAATCAGAACAGTGTTGTTGTTGTTTTGTTCTGTTTTGTTTGAGGCAGTCATCCATTCCTGCTCCCCCACTCTAATCCTGGAAGGCAATACTTCATACACTTCTTTTCTTGCAAAGACTAAAAGAGAAAAGTGAGTTTTTGATTTACAAAATTAAGCTCACTCTCTCCAAAATCACGAGGTTTTATTTAAAAAGGGGGGGGGGAAAAAAAAAAAAGGGGGGGGGAGAATTCTGGGTGGTCCAGATCCCAACTGAAAATTAGTTTACCCTTATCTTTGGGGGTTTCTTTCTTTCTTTTTACTTGTTGTTTTTATGATTTTGGTGTTTTCTCCTGGTCAGTGGGTATGTGGATGGTTTATGTGTTTATTTATTGTTAGCCTCCCAGCGTAATGGCTTGTAACAAACCAACCAGCCAATCAGGTCAGGTTAGGAATCTTATTTACATGGTCTTCTCATGCATCGGATATCCTCTTCAAGAGGAGATATGGCTGCCTTTAACATAGGACTACAGAAACTCTTCTATGGAATTCTGCACTTGAATCAGAGTCATGTGCTGGGGTGGGCGGAACTAGAGCCAAAATAGGCAGAACTACCACCTACTTTTCTATTCTTCTTCCTCTGTGATTAGGAGGTTCCCAAGAGCTACACTGTAGATATTTTGGCATTTTCTCTTTAAGAACCTCAAATACATAATGCTGCCTCAATTTTACATGCTAAATTTCTGGCTGTTTTGCATCTCCAAGTGCCTGACATTAAAACTCCAAAAATAAGGGCTCTTTCCAATTACCCTTCTGGCTTTCTGCCACACTGAACCACAGTCCTTTGCTCTGAAATATGACAGCATTATTTCTCCCATTCAAACTTCCTTGTCTCATACAGCAGGCTATTGAATATTTATTGTATTGCAATACATCACTCCAATTCATTTTCAGACTTCATATTTCATTGTTTTGTTGTTGCTG